TCTGCCCCCTCCCAATCCCTCTCCCGTGTCAAGCCATACCCGCTCCCACACCCAGTCTCAGCTCCCTTCCCATGGCATCTTTCCTCTCATGGAGATGGCAGGCATGGACAGGGTTGTCAAAGTCCACGTGCCTTTCTCTTGGAGATCTATCTCAGCTCGAGCATAGAATAGGCTCTTTTTCTACTAATCCTACTCACTTCATACAAGAATTTAAATATATTACTAACAGCTATGATCTAACTTGGCATGATCTCTTTATGATTCTCCAGTCTACCCTCACCCCTGATGAGAGACATAGGTCTGGACAGCAGCACAGGAATATGCTAATGAACTTTATTCTGCTAACCAAGCTCACCTTATTGGTAGTGAGGCAGTTCCCCTTCAGGACCCTGGGTGGGATTACCAACCCCCACCAGAAGGTCAGGCAGGAACTTCCCCAGGTAGAGTAGCCAGGGACCACATGATCACTTGCCTCTTGACAAGTCTTCAGAGAGCTTCACCCCCTAAGGTAGTTAACTTTGAGAAGCTTAGGTTGATCACTCAGGGCTTTGCTGAAACCCAGCTCAGTTTATGGACAGACTCACTTATTCTCCTGTCCAGTATACCAAATAAGGCCCCGAGTCTGCAGAAGGACAGCTTATGCTTCACCCCCGCTTTATCTTACAATCAGCTCCAGATATTAGAAGGAAACTTAGGCACTTAGACAAGGGCCCTGAAACCCCCACAAGAGATCTGTTGGACACAGCATTTAGAGTATTTTATAACAAAGAGGAACAGGAGAAGGCAGACAAGCTTACCCTGTCCAAGCAAAAGTACCAGCTTATGGCTGCAGTCCTAAGGGCTCCTCCCAAGAACACTTCGAACACCAATGGAGCCCAACGACATCCACCAAGACCCTGCTTCAAGTGTGGATCGACTGGAGATTGGGTAAGGCAATGCCCTAACCCACAGCCACCACCCGGACCCTGTCCTTCTTGTGGGCAACAAGGTCACTGGAGAGTCGATTGTCCTTCTTTGCAATGCCACAGATGGCCACTCACCTCCTAGACCCAGCCTCATTTACAGGGTTCAGTGAATGACCTTCTAGGCCTGGCAGCTGAAGACTGACAATGCCCTGGCTTCTTGGCCCCCACCGCTTCTATGACTATCACAATGGAGGAGCCCAGGGTTTCAGCCATGGTGGCAGGTAAGATTATTAATTTCATTATTGACACTGGCATGTCATGGTCAGTTCTCCCTTCCTACTCTGGTAAAGTTTTTCCCTCACAGATCTCTGTGGTGGGGGTTGACAACCCCAAATCAACAGGACCCTTAGCCTGTGTATTCTGGAAGGTGCCTTTAAATCACTCCTTCCTGGTTATGCCCACCTGCCCAACTCCCCAGCTTGGCAGAGATCTCATGCAAAAGCTCTCCCTTTCTATTTCTCTCCCATTCTCCACACTCTTTCTCCTTTCCCCTGTACCTTCTCCTCCCCAAGCCAGATCTTGGCCCCTTCCCCTTACTGAAGTAAATCCCAAGGTCTGGGACACCTCAGACTCAGGACTGGCCTCTCATCACACTCCTATCCACATTTTCTTGAAGGACCCCTCCCTATTTCCCAGCAGATCCCAATACCCAATTGCACTCAAACACCGCTATGGACTTAAGCCCATAATTCAAAGGCTTATGAGAGCTAACCTCCTTAAACCCACTCACTCTCCATATAACACTCCCATTCTTCCAGTCCTCAAGCCTGATGGCTCTTATTGTCTGGTCCAGGATCTCTGGCTTATTAATTCAGCATTTATTCCCATTCACCCAGTCGTTCCCAACCCCTATACTCTCCTTTCTCATATCCCCTCTTCCACCACCCTCTTTTCTGTATTAGACCTTAAAGATGTTTTTTTTCTCAATACCCTTACACTCTGACTCTCACAACCTCTTTGCATTCACCTGGGAGGACCCTGACACTGGGATGTCTTCCCAACTAACCTGGACTGTCCTGCCCCAGGGGTTTCAAGATAGCCCTCACCTCTTTGGACAAGCTCTAGCCCAGGATTTAACTTCCCTAGACCTTAACCCCTCCACCATCCTGCAATATGTAGATGACCTAGTTCTTTGCTCCCCATCTCTCTCAGTCTCCAAAGCTCACACAAACTCCTTAACTTTCTGGGGGACAAGGGATATAGGGTATCTCCAGCTAAGGCACAGCTTTCTTTCCCTCAAGTCAAGTACTTGGGGTTCCTCCTCATACTACGTCCTGCCATTTAACTATAGATAGAACTAATTACCTGAGGTCTTTAAAGCCTCCCACAACCAAGGAGGAAATTCTATCCTTCCTAGGCATTGCAGGGTACCTGTGCACCTGGATTCCTAATTTTGCCCTCTTGGCAAAGCCGCTCTATGAAGCCTCTAAAGGAAGCTCCTCTGAGCCCCTTGACCCCTTAGGGCCTGTTACAGCTGCATTCCACACTATCCGGGAAGCCCTCTTAAAGGCACCAACTCTGGCTCTCCCCAACCTAGAATGCCCGTTTCTTCTCTACACGACTGAGAATAAGGGCCAGGCATTAGGGGTTTCGGGACAGATGAGGGGACCCACTTTTGCCCCAGTAGCTTATCTCTCTAAACAGCTGGATACCACCATCTGGGGGTGGCAACCTTGTCTCTGGGCTCTGGCAGCTGCAGCACTCCTGGCTCAGGAGGGACTGAAGCTTACTTTGGGCCAGACAATCTCTGTCCTTTCCCCCCACCGACTTAAGGATTTATTAAGTCATGCATCTCTTGCCAGTCTAGCTCCCTCTAAACTACAACTCTTTCATGTTACATTTCTTGAAAACCCCTCGCTCTCCCTTGATTCCTGCCCTCCTCTCAATCCAGCTTCCCTCCTTCCTTCCAGTGAGCCACTCACCCACTCATGCCTGGAAACTCTTCAGGAACTCTCCTATCAGGATCCCTTAATCTCTCCAGATCCCCTGCACCTGAAGGCTTGGGACACACACTGATCTCAACCCAGCATCATTCTCAAGAAATAGAGGACCTCAGACAGGAATTCACTTCAACAGTGGAAACTACAGCCCAGTCAATCCAGTTCCTACAACAACAATTATCCTCCCTAGCTGAAGTTGCACTCCAGAACAGGCGAGCCCTGGATCTATTAACTGCAGAAAAAGGGGGAACCTGTATTTTTTTGGGTGAAGAATGCTGTTATTTTATCAACCAATCTGGTAAGGTCGAGCATGATATAGAACAACTTAAACAGGTAGCAAAAATCTTTCACTTAAAAATTCCCAGTACCAAGTCATCTCAATGGGATATTTTTACAGGATTAATGCCTTGGCTTCTGCCCTTACGGGGCCCCCTGCTTTCTATCACTCTGGTGCTAACTGTTGCTCCTTGCTTTGTCAGATATTTTCAGGACCAGATCCGAAAACTAACAGATACTAATTTTAATCAGTTATTACTTTCCTTCCCTTCACATGTATACAAACGCCTGTCAGCCATCAAGGACCCTGTTCAGATGCACAGAGAGACAACCCCTGTTGCCTTGTGGACCCCTAAACCAGCCTACCCCCTACATCGATCCTGTCCAGCAGGAAGTAGCAAGATGACAATGGCGCCCCCTATCCTATAACTCAAAAGGCTGGAATATTAGGGTTTCAAACAGCAGCATATAAGGGAAAACAATGGCAGATCATACAAATTGTTACCTGAAGAATTTGGATGACTAAATTATCACTAGAAAATTAATATTGTCTCACAAAAAATAACATTAGTTAATAATTAAACTGGTCAATTCACCAATAAGACATAATAATCCTAAATGCTTGAAGCAGTAAAATAATCTCAAACTGTACAAATATAAAACCAATGGAAATGAGAAGATAAATGGATTCATAATATTAGCTACATGTAAGGTGGAGAAGGGATGGGAGGAGGGATAACTAATACTAAGTATATTTGAAAACCTACTATTTATTTATTTTTATTTATTTATTATTATTTATTTATTTTTGTCTTTTTGAGGCAGGGTCTCCCTGTAGTCCCAGCTGACCTGAACTCACTATGTAGACCAGGCTAGCCTTGAACTCACAGAGATCCACCTGCTCTACCTCCAGAGTGCTGGGACTAAAGGCATGCGCCACCATGCCCAGCTATTTTTTAAATGTATGCTGTATTGCCTGCATGTAGGTAAGTGCACCCACATCATGCAATGCTTGCAATGGACAGAAGAAGCTGTCAGATCCCCTGGAACTGGAGTTCTGGACAGTTGTTAGCTGCCATGTGGGTGCTGGGATTTGAACCTGGGTCTTCTGCAAGAACAACCAGTGTTCTTAACCGCTGCGCCACATCCCCAGCCTGAAAACCTACTATTTTTAAAGTTCTCTCTTTCTTTCTCTGTCTCTGTCTCTCTGTCTCTGTCTCTCTCTGTCTCTGTCTCTCTTTCTGTCTCTCTCTGTGTGTATGTGTGTGCGTAACCAATAGGAATAATGCTTCTCCCAAAGACCATAGTCTGCAAAATTAAAAAACTAAGTGCCATGCATGGAATACCTTGCCTCTAGGTGTTCACTGGGGATGTCCAGGAGACCCCCCAAAACAATATAAGCTATTGCCACTACATTTGTTGCCTGCCAGAACTTGATGATAAGACCAGATTGCTGAAGACATGGTATGGTTTGGTTACAGAACGTGAAGAAACCAAGCTTCTTGGTCAGGGATTTTATTACCTATTAGCTAGCTTTCATAGTACTGAAAGGTATTACACAAGCTGCTGGGTGAAAAAAGAAAAGGCATCAGTAATCTTACCCAGTTGTGAATCCTGTGAGGTCCAAGAATGACTAGCATGTCAATATATGCCTATGGGTCCAACAGCAACATGAATATCATGGGGCAGTTTTGTGACATTATTATGGGGATAAATGACCAAATGAATGTCTACTCACCCCAGATAGGGAACCAACAACAAACCAAAGAAAGGATATCACCAAAATCCAACTCGATGAGCCAATGAATTTTATTGGGGTTACTTAACAGAAGCAGAAATTACTCAAAACAGCTGAGTCCATGACAGCGCGTGTGACAGTTCACAAAAGCTGGAAATCTGGAGTGCACTACACAATGTGCAGGCCGCTCAACAGGCTGGAGAGTATCTTTTCTAGGAGACCCAGTTGATCTGAGCCCTTCCAGGAGGCTCAGCTGGTTTCTGCTTTTTCATGCCAGCTTGGCTGGTCTCTGCGTCTTTCGGGGGGCTTGGCATGCCTGGGCCTCTTCTAGGCTGCTCAGCTTGTCTCAAGTGTCCCTCGGCAGTCCTTAGGGCTTAGTATGCTTAGAGAGGGAAATGTGGTCAGTTTCAGGGACATCCTGAAGCTATTGAAATATTTACTTACTATACTTAATGAGATTCCTTGTAGGGAGGAATGATTGACATCCCTGCTGCTTCACCTCCTCTTCAACATCCTATTTCTTAATGATTTTCCTTACAGGATAAAGTGTTTCACCTCCCCTTAGAACATCCTGTGTCTTAATGAGCTTCTCTCCAAGATGGAATGTTTTATCTTGGAGGAAATTGCAATACAACAGGGGGTAACCATCTATTTTCTGTTTGGATTTTAGGTTAGTTTCACAAAAGGAATGGCATGCCTGGTATTATAGATCTGGCCAAGAACTCATTGTGGGGGAACTCATATGCACATGATAAACCTATTATTTTTCCAAATGATGATACTGTGAAGCTGTCCTCTAAATCATGTCTCTACACCCATAAGTTAGTACAACTCTTAGGCCTCATCAAAGAACTTTGTATACTAGACAAAATGAAGAAAATAAGTGTCTTTGAGGGGTTCAGCCACAAATAGGGCATCTATATCACACCCTCTATCCCACAGGCTCAGGTACCATCACAGAAGAGAGTAGAGAAACATTGTAAGAGCTATAGGCCAGAGAGAACCAGGGTGAAACAGCATCTTCTGGATAGGACAAGATTGTTGCACTTATGAACTTACAGCAGTTGTGGGTGCCTGCACAGGATCTGCAAGATCAAGGCAGTCGATATTTCAGTGTGGACAGGAGAAGGGCTCATGAGCCCTCACTTCTAACTGAAAGGCTACTGACAGATGATAGTTTCTGGGGCTATCACCTCTGGTAATTCCACAAAGATTCAATGGATGGCACTACATCCATGACTAAATGAGAGAGACAAATTCAACACATTGGGTTACACAAAAAGAACACAAAATTTGAAGGAGGTTGAGGCTTGATCTTGGAAGAGATCTCAGAGTAGGAATGAGAAGTGAAATACAATGTATTAAAATACAATGCATTCATTAATTAAATTCTTAAATAATTCATAAAAATATATTTAAAAATAGCTACGTTTGAAAACTATTCTTATTTCTCCAAGACAATAAAAATATTACCAGATGAGCTGAAAATAAAACACAATATATTAAATTTCATAAAATACAGCAAAACAGAGGTCATAGAAAATTTATAATAGTCACTCCAATAAAAATCTTGTAATGCATCTTTCTTAGAAATCAATAAGCTGATTTGAAGATCTCTGTGGGAATACAAAGAACCTAAAACATCCAAAAATAATTTTAAGTAAGAATAAATTTAGAAAACATACGCTAATTTCAAGGTTTTTCTAAAAACTTACAGTCATTAAGAAAAAAGGTGATGGGTGATGATGGCAGAACAAGGCAAGCCCAGGCAGCTGGCCTCAAGGCCTGGGGTGCACCAGCTCCCAAGAGACTGAATGCATTTGATGAACCATGTGAAGAACCTTATCACAGAAGATGAATGTTGGCCTGACCATAGGTGCTTCTATGTTGATCTCAAAATTTTGAAACCAGGATATGACAAGTAAGAGAGAAAATGATTCAGGAACTAAAATGACTATGCAGCCAAAGCAGAGGCGGAAACAGTGACTCAGCACAAGGACCTAGAAACATGGCTCTGGCCCTCTTCATTTTATTAACAAACTCGACGCTTCCATATTGATCTCAAAATTCTGAACTCATGATTTGGCAAATAAGGGGAATAATAACTGGGGAGCCAAGATGGGAGCATCCACACACTGGCAGGGTGGAGCCAAGCCAGTCTGGCTGCCCATACAGACCAGAGGAGTTGCACGCAGCATGGCTGCCCTGTTGCAATGGTGGGGAAGATCCAAACCGGTCTGCCTGCCCACACATCCTGGTGGCATCCAAGATTGGCTGACCATGATCACCACCCAGTGGTGGTCAAGACCTGACTGCAATCCTCCACAACATTAGGAATCTGAGAAGGCTATCAATTTCAGATAATAAACTAGAGGACACTGGTGTAAAGCTGTCATGTGAAACTGTGAAACCTCCCAACTGCCACTCAGAGAATCTTGGATTGGAGGCCTGTGAGATAATTGTTGCCTGCTGTGAGGACCTAGCTGCTTTTTCACCCACAGTGAAACCCTGAAGAGAATCAGTCTGTTGGAGAACACCATTTTCCACAGTGGGGTCATTGTGGTGGGTGAGGACAAGAAATGACTAACGTGAACCTGTGCACCAGGGCTGTGAACAACTAACTTTGATGAAGAAAACCAAGCATTTCAGATCACTGAAAAAAAAAAAAAAAAAGAAAGCCCTATTTAAATAGACAGTCCTAAGTAGTAAGAGAAACAGAAATTAAGAGTGAAAATTCCATTTCAAGAAACCTGGGCATATTCTGACCCAAAACCACTTACGAGGGAAAAGGATTAGTCCCTTACTTTGGCACACCTCAGTGTCAGAATTATAGATTACTGACACTCTAATGTGATATGATTTCTCTGGTACCCAACTCAGATATGTAATGCACAATAGATGGGTTTACTGGTTTTCAAATAGAAAACACAAAATCAGGGGTGGGGAAATGGCGGTGGGGTAGTAGGGTGAGGGTGGAGATGGAGGAGGTCTGACTATAATCAAAATTCATTGTAAGAAATTCTTGAATCAATAAAATAAAAAATTAAATTTTAAATTTTTTAATTTATTATTTTAATTTTATGTGTATGAGTGTATTGCCAACATGTATGTAAGTGCACCCATGTTGTGAAATGCCTTCAGAGGTCAGAAGATGGTGTTGGATCACCTGGAACTAGAGTTATGAATGGTTGTTAGCCACCATATGGGTGCTGGGATTTGAACCTGAGTCTTCTACAAGAACAGTCTTAACTGATGAGCTATCTCTCTAGCCCCTAAATTAATTTTTTTTAAAAAACTGATATAGCCAATGGAAGAAAAAGTATAAATCTGATATAGACCTACATGAATATGGTTGCTTGATCTTAGACCAAAGTACCAAGATAATTCAAAGTTGAACTGATTGTATTTTGAACAACTTTTACTAGAAAAAGTTGACATTCATAAGAAAAATTTAAATAAATAAAAGATTGTTGACCTACCACTTAAATGATATATCAATTTTAAGACAAATGTATCATAAACTAAAGAATTAAAATTCAATAACACACCAAACCAAAACAGCATATTCAGATTTATCATCCAGGTAGGTTGCAATCATCATCTTTAAGTCAGAAGAAAAGATGAGAAATTATAGGATAAGAACATGGATGGAAAACATAGGAAGGGGAGTAGGCATAACACTAATACACACAAAATAAAATAACTTTTTTTTAAAAAGTGACTAAGCAAGCCAGCAGGCAACATTCCCCCATGGTCTCTGCATCAATTCCTGCCTCCAGGCTCCTGCCTTGAGTTCCTGCTCTGTCCTCCTTCAGTGATATATTATTACCTGGGAGTTGTAAGCTAAAATAAAACCTCCCCAAATTGCTTTTGTTCATGGTGTTTATCACAGCAACAGGAAATAAGATATAACAGCTGTTAGGAAGATAATATATATTCTTTAGTGTTTGGGTAGAACATTCTGTAAATGTGGTTAGATCCATTTAATTTAAAATGTTATTTAATTCCAGAGTTCTCTGTTCAGTTTTTGTCTGGATGATCTGTTTGTTAGTGAGAGTACAGTATTGACATCATCCACCATCATTGTGTTGGGGGCAATTTGTGATTTAGGTCTAATTGCAAATTTTAAGATGAAGTTGGGCTCCCTTGCATTTGGTGTATAAATGATTAGAATATTCTCTTGGTGGAGTTTCTTTTAGATATGTTCTTTATCATCTCTTCTGACTAATTTTGCTTTGAAATCTATCTTGATATATTAGAATGACTATATCTGCTTATTTCTTGATGCTTTTTGCTTTGAATGCATTTTTCACCCTTTACCCAAAGGTAGTATCTGTCTTTGGTGGTGAACTGTGTTTCTTGGAGGAAGCAAAAGACGGATCCTGTTTTCTCATCCAATATGTTAGTCTGTGTCTTTTTATTGGGAAATTGAGATTATTAATATTGACAGTTAGTATTGACCAATGTTTATTAATTCCTGATATTTTGTTGTGGTGGTTTTGTTTTCTTAGACCTCTTTTGGTTAACAACTCTAGAACTGTTTATTTATTCCTTGTTCTCTTGAATGTATTTAACCATCTTTTCTTATTGAAGTATTCCTTCACAATATCCTCTCTAGAGTTTGCTTAGTGGACGTAAATTCCTTAAATTCATTTTTACCATCAAAAGTTTTTCTTTCTCTTCCAAGTACGGCTGATAGTTTTGCTGGATATATTAGTTCAGTCAGGCATCTGAGTCCTTAAATTCATTTTTACCAACAAAAGTTTTTCTTTCTCTTCCAAGTACAGCTGATAGTTTTGCTGGATATATTAGTTCAGTCAGGCATCTGAGTTCTTTTATGAATTGTAGGACATTGGTCCTTCTGGCTTCATAGTCTCCATTGAAATATCAACTGTTATTCTGATGGGTCTGCTTTTACATGTGACTTCTCTCTGAACCTTTTAATAATTTTCTTTCTTCTGTACATTCACTGTTTTGAGTATTATATGTCATATGGAGTGTTTTAATTTGCTTTCTCTATTGCTGTAACGAAACACTGATCAAAGGTGCATCTTGGTGCATCTTGTACCAAGTGACAGTCCATCATTAAGGAAAGGAACAGGAAGGAACTCAAGGAAGGAACCTGGAGGCAGAAGCTGAAGCAGAGACCATGCAGGAATATCGTTTCCTGGCTTGTTACCCTCATGCCAGGGAAGTATTTAGTTGCACTTCTTATATAGCCCGGACCACTGACCAAGGGATAGTACTGCTCACAATGGTCTGTGCCCTCTTGTATCAATTATCAATTAAGAAAATACATCACAGACATGACCACAGCCAATTCAGTGGGGGAATTCCTAAACTGAGGTTTCCTCATCTCAGATGTCTCTAACCAGTACAGGG